CCCCCCCCCACCCATGTGTTTAACAGTTCTTCTCTCTTTCGACTGACCTAATCAAGCAAAGCATTTATAAACAAAGAATTCTGTCTTGCTAATCTGAGAAAATTGTCAAATTTCACTCAAGCTCACCAACAGTCTCATTGTCGGGAAGGACAACTGATGTGTTCTTGTCTCTGTATTCTACATTGAAGTTGATCATTCTGCTGGAGAAATTCAGAGGGGAGGAGCTGTAGGAGGGTCCGGAGGCCATGTCGGAAGCTCCATGGTCTGATGGACGTACATGGACACCAAAACCTTCCAGGCGCTCAGATCTAAGGGATGAAGGATCTTCAAAATCGTGCTCTCCAGGGGAAGGTCCCACTTCGTCTGCTTCAAATCCACTACCCTCTGGAGGACCAAAGCCCATGATACTGTTGACTGCTCTCTGTGGGGTTAACCATTCTTGTTATCAAATCATTTGTTATACCCACCATCATTCACTCATTCAGCGCATTCAGTTTGTAGAAAGTAGTCACCATTCAATTAGATCTAGTACTGAGGGGGCTCTTGTGGCCTTAGAGGTCAAGGTGTTCGTCTCTCATTCAAAGGGTCCGGGTTCGAATCCGGTAGCGGACGAAAAATTTTCGTCCCTAAAATTGTCTCCTCTCACCTCCTATGCCCCCTCCTCTGGGCTCCTGACTCTTTCTGCAGCCTTTCTACTGCTACTTCTTGGATCCTTCTTACTGCAGTCTTTCTGCCACACTCCTGATCTTCTGGTAGGAAAGATCTACACCTAGCCTTCTCGGACAAGGGGGAAAAATCTCGGAGGTCCCGTGTGCAAGTTGCGCACGTTAATGATCCCTTAGTGTTCTAAAACCGATAGAGTGGCTTCTGCCGCCACCCAAGCATTATTTTTAATTCCCTACTGACTGAAAATGTTTATTGTGTCCCATGCGCTCATATGACCATATGCAGTTGCGAGCACCGTAAAACACTTACCAAAAAAAATGTATTAAAAATTAGTACTGCTATCTTTTGCACAAAACTTCTATTTAATATTTGACTTCAAGAGTTGAGGAGCAGTAGAGGAGGGGAGTTCATCAGAACAGTAAAATCAAATAAAGGAAAAAAAAGAAAGATATGTGTGTGTGGGGGGGGAGAGAAATGTTTGTAATTAACATAATCAACAAGCCATCGCAAAAATAAAGCTTAACCTGTCTACAACCTGATAAGACAACAAGAATGTTACAAAATTACAAACCTCCAAGTTCCAATCATGTTGAGTCAAGATGTTGGTGCACAGGTCAAAATCATCAATTCCTGTGACAGCCTAAATGACAAAAAGAAATTTTGTCTTTAAAAGTACATCAAATCATTCAATTATAACACAAAACTTGAAAGGTTTCAGACCAGCAATTTAATGATAAATAAATGTGATCGAGTGTCATTTATAATTATTTTCTGTCACATTTTGCCTTTTTATCCCGGTATAACCTGCAGTTCAGTAAGTCTTACTTTTTAAACAGGCCCTGAAGAAGCTATATCATAATCATTTTTTCTTTTTTCTAAAAAAAAAATTAATATAAAAATACCTTTTCAACCCTGAATCATGGTCAGGATGTTTCCCAAATCCCCACCCCTGGACTACTTTTCAACAAATGGTTCACCTGAATCATTCAGAGAATGAAGTGCACCAGTCTTAAAGGATAAAAAGCTATAAATATGCCCCAGACTGGTTTAAATATCTGCCCTTTGGGTTCAAAGGTAATTTGTTTGTGAAGTGGATAGACAACTAATGCTAACCTGAGCTTGCTAGCTCACCTGGTGATCTTTCAAGTTTTAGAAAGGCTACAGGAAGAAAATTGTACACTTTCCAAAGCTTTCATTTTTTTTCCCACTGATCACAGTATCATTGACTTACTGACACCTAATCTCAGGAATGAACAAGGCTGGACCCACAAAAGAACCACTGTTAGTGAACAAGCATTGTGGTAAACAATAAGAGCAGGGGGTGTAGGGGGGACAATAGTGAAATGTGGACGCTTGTGTCTTCTTAACACAAGCAGCCCTGTGGGAAGGTTTGACTGTAGACTAAAAAACTTTCATTCTATTTCAGCTTTTCAAGACAATCAAGAACATCAACACACTGAAGGTGTTGTCTGGTTACAGTACTGAGTTAGTTAGGCCTAATTAATAATAGTATAGTGACCCAAAATAAGAAACCTAAAATACAGTGTATAGCACGGACAGGTCAAACACAGAAGACTTGAAATCTTGCTGTCTAACTGTGCCTGCAGTCCTGGGGGGTTTCTCTTCTTTATCTCCCTGACCACGGTTCCCGTCACAGGAACAGGGCGGGCAGCTGGTTCGCTGGTACGGATCCCTTACCCGCAACGGAGTGGACTTTGCGATTTTGTTCCGTATCTTGTGATCCTGTCACATTAGACCTGCATGTGAGCCTCAACCAGATTGTCTGAAAATTTTGCGCAGCCCCCCCCCCAATAACTTATAAGAGCTTTTAAATTGTGGGTGTCATAAAAGGAAAGACTTCCGAGTAACGAGCTACCACCCGAACAAAGACAATAAAGAAGAGACCTGACCCTAACCCAAACCCTATCCCTAGGTCTAACCCAAAAAAGAACCTGCAACGGCCCTCGTGTGAAAAGGCCAGCACAAGTAAAAAAAACAACCCAAAAACCACACTCCAAAACAAACAAGGAGCATAAATATGGCCTACATTGCTATTATAAAGAGTAGAATACAGTAGACTTGGAATATATGAATCCTCCATATAATCTAATATCTAGATCTAGTGATCTAAATAAATCTAGATCTAGATCTAGTACAACAAGTGAATAGGAATAGGCCTTGAACGAGAAATCCGCATCCGATTCCGAACAGAGGGACTCAGCTAAGTCTAGAGTCTAGATTTAGATTAGATCTTTTAAGTAAATAATTCACGCACCTGATAAAATGCGTTTTACCAACATTAATATTACAGCACAACAGGGTTTGACACAATAAAATTGGAATATGAATCCTCCATCGAGATCTATAATGATCTATAATTACTATAAATCTAGATCTAGAGTAGAACAAGTGAGTCGGACTTGAAAGAATCCAACATGATCTGAACAATCAGTAAACAAACGAAATTCAAAATGGCCGCTCGAGCACGAAACTGAAAGTAGATAATTTAGGTCGTCGTACTTTTTCGTATTTGTATTTCTACTCAGGTTCCGACAATTATGTCGCAAACGCCGACGTCGGCACGAAAACGAAAGTGCCGACAAAGCCGACGGGAGAAAAAGGGGGCGCTGGCAGTCGGCCAGGCCTCGCACTTCGCACATTGACTAGTACAGGTGGGCCTAGCGATAGCATCGGCCGGCTCACGGGTCGGGTCGCGATTGTCGGATTTCAGACGATTGTCGGCAAACATGCAGGTCTAATTTACTTTTGCATTCTGCATCAATTTCTCTCGAATTTCCACCGTCTTCAAAGACATCTCGGCGCGCCATTGTCCAGATGCTCGATCGACACTGTTGCTCCACAATATAAACAATGTGAAACTAGTGTTAGGCAGCGACAGAACGGAAGTAACTTAGCAAGAAGATACGGGCGAACATGCCCAATGCGCGTTTTCGTCTCACTCCCGGTTTGGTGGTTTCCGCGTGTAAAAAAAGTATCGCAATTTTCGGCCGAGAGCAGTCCAGCGGAGGAAGGAGGAAAGAAGGGGGAAAAGCTAGATGAAGCGGAGTTTCCGCTATTTAGCGGAAAAGTGGCAACTATGATAAGATCACCGTCATAGGTCATAGTCTAGTAGTCATAGTCATGGCCGCCGTTATTCGGACTCGAGTCCGAATAACATTTTTTGATATTCGGACTCGGGTCCGGAAAAAAGGAAGTGTCTTCGTTCTATAGTTCTAACGTTCAGTGCTTCCAATTTTCCGCCATTTTTTAGTCCCCCCCCCCCCACACACCTTTTCTGTCGATCCGATGCCCGCCGCCTCATTGATACGCCCCCCCCCCACCCCCCATGTTTCCCACTTTCTTTGTTGTAGAAAAAGGTGAAATTGAAGATTAGCAGACCATCTGGCACCTGCATATTATGAGCTGTTTATCCAGAAAAAGTTGTGTTGCTGTGTAGAGCTGAGCATACGGCAACTTTTGATTCCATAGACCAGCGCACAATTCATTACGTAGATCTACGTCAAGACTAGCTTATTATTGTAATAATGATCAGTTGCCGGGGGAAAAAAGACTGACGCTTATGCGACGTTCAACGCCCGGACCGATAGTGCCCCCCCACCCCCCTCCCCGACACGCACACAGCCACACGTGTGCAGGCCGCCCATCCGACCCCGACACACGCTAACGAGCCACCTTTAATTGCTTCTGATGACCTCTTGACAAATAAACATTTATTAGAAGCGCTATAACTTTTCAGGCTGGCCTCAAATTCATCATAAGATTAAAACTCGGCTCCTGCACAAAACGCCTTTTTGCCCGAAGTGATCCCGGTCTCTACCCAGCCTGAGGCGAGTCACGAGTGAGGCAGGACAGGAAGCAGGAGTCAAGAGTCACAGGAAGTTGGAAGTGATGTCATGCTGGACAAGAGTCAGAGTCCGAATAACATTTTTTCATATTCGGACTCGAGTCCGAATAATCACTTCGCATAGTCATAGTCATTACAATTACAGAGTAGTCATTATTAGTTAGTAGATTAGTAATAGAATAGACAGACCTAAAAATAATTTTACTTACACTGAAAGAAATCTTCTTCTTTCACTGAAAATATTATGTCATACCCCAACAGAAAGTTCTGTCAACCCAAAGAAACAAAACGAACGTAATGTGTAGTATGGGTGGGGGTTAGTCATTGGAATGCCATGCCAATGAAACAGCTGATTTGAGTGACAAGTGGAGGACGAAGACAAAGACTAACTTGCGGACTGATCCCAGAGACATATGCGAAATAACTACATTTGGTACCTGTTATCCAAGTAGTTTAGGTCCCTGTCATGTCCACCTTTTGGAAAATAACGACAGAATAGTTAAGAACAAACTAACTATGATAAACATACCTGAAAATCAATGAGTGTTTGGTCTCTCGACTCAGCCATTTTGTTGATATTTTTAGGTTACTTCTGCGCATGTAACAATTGTGGCCAGGAAATAGATCTGTATAAAATGTGTAGTCGCAACTTATGTCGGAGATTGGTGAATTTCCCACACATCTTTTTTCATATTATCTAGAACGGGCAAGTAAAATGCATTATAGCTATTAGATCATTTTATTTATAAAATGCATTTACTTTTTTAGTAAACAATTAAATCTATTTTTTGTTATTTACTTTTACTTCATGCTAAAACTAAATGAACTGGTCCTTTGTACTTTTGGCATATGAAAGTAGTGATAGGAAAATAAAACATTCTAATTGACGGATAATATGATAAAATAAGCTTCAATAAATAGCACATCTAGGCCTATACAAGAGAAGAGGTTTCTCTCTTCTCTATGATATACATGACATTATTATTCTGCTGTTGAGCTGTTATAAAATAATTATCAAATTATTCCACCATATCTTTAATTTCTTTGGTAGAAAAGCATTCTGCATAGTTTGCTTCTCTTGAAGTAATACTATCTAGATTGCGCAGTGGGAAGACCGAAAATGGCAGATTAAAGCGAAAAATGTCTCTCTTCTTTTCCTTAGCAATCCAATTTGTAGGCCCATAAACATAATAACATAATATGCTATGAATATCTTGCCTCTCTTTTGGCCCTGAACTATGTATCCCTAATACATGTATCGGAATAATTATACAAGTAGAGTCTACAAGTACTGGCCAATAATGATCCCGAGATCTATTATTTTGATTCTGAAAAAGTAGGCCTATTGCCTAATGAATTGTCTTTTCATAAAACACACCTTTACATTTTGGCTGTAATACATTATCAGCAACTGGAGCCTTTCAGTTTTTATGGGCATTGTAATCTTCAAAAAAAAAAAAAAAACATACCAAAAACAGCATCAACAAAAAAGGACATGCGTGTACATGTTGGCCTGATCTGAAAGTAGCTGGATCGTACATTGGTATTTTGGTGTGCTTTCGAGTTTTAGTAGGCCTACCTTGTGTCTGAAATTGTACTTCCGCTTTCGTTTTCTTTTCCAGTCCACTTGTGCCTGTTCATAACATCATTGAGACGTTGACAGATTGACTGTGACACCTCATCGTGGGAACGAACAGGGCTGGACTTACGTTATATGATTTGGTGACTTTCATCTAGTGACACTGTCTTTCTTGCACATTACAGAAATACGAACAATTTGTTTCCAACTTTTCAAATATGGGTAGAATTGTGTTTCTCCACCCAGATCTGGGAATTGGAGGTGCGGAGCGAGCTGTGATTGACGCCGCTCTGGCTCTCAAGTCGCGAGGACATCAAGTTGAATTCGTCACTGCTCATCATGATCCATCACACTGCTTTCCAGAGACAAAAGATAACACCTTCACAGTGACAACGGCCGGTGACTGGTTGCCCAGAAGCGTCTTGGGAAAATGCTATGCTCTCTGTGCATACATCCGAATGATTTATGCCGCTGTTTATTTAGTGTTCTTTAGTGGAATCAAATATGATGCAATATTTTGTGATCAAATATCAGCTTGCTTGCCTTTCCTAAAGCTGGCTTCAGCAAAAGTACTGTTTTACTGTCATTTTCCGGACATGCTGCTGACACAGAGGCAGAGCATGCTGAAAAGCCTGTACCGTGGACCGATTGATTATGTTGAGGAAAAAACCACTGGGATGGCAGACTGCATTCTTGTCAACAGCAAATTTACAGGTAGATCTAGATCTAGGGCCTAGGAGGCCTACAAGATTAATTTCAGTATTATTTGTTGATTTTATTAAAGTTTTACATGAATTTCATAACATAGCAGTATGTTTTTGATTGACATGTTTTCATACAAACCATATTACAACAGGCCCAATTGCCTGTGTGATAGAATCTAGTGGAAACCCCTGATATAACAGGGATGGTGGGACCAGAGAAAAATACAGTGGAACTCTGAGTCAACAAGGTCGCCGGGCCTAACCAAAAATCTCGTTGAATCAGAGTGTTTGTTATAGCAAATATGAGGTTTTGTGTAGATAATTACAGTGGAAACCTAATATAACAGGGATGGTGGGAGTAGAGAAAAAGTCCTGTTATAACCCGATCCCTGTTAAATCAGAAATGCAAGGAAAGTAAGCATTTGTGGACTAATCCAGCTGCACTTATTCATGGGTAGTTTCCTTTGCCACAAGTACCCACGAACAGGGGTTTTGGCACCAAATTTCTCCTTGCCTCCTTATACCACATCAGAAGAGCTTGGTCCACAGCATCGGGTAGTCTCATCTTTCGATCCAGAGCAAAGTTTCCATTGGAGTATGCTGCCACTATCTTCTTTCTATCCTTGATAATGGTGTGAATCGACCCTTGTGGAAGGTCAAACTGATGACAAATCTCTGCCAGTGGAGCTTGCTTTTAGTCAACAGCTTGGGTTATTTCGTATATTTTGTCAATTGAAAGGCATTTCTCTTGCGTTTGACATCGTTGGTGGCCATAATGAAAGAAGTAGGCTTAGATCTACACATCTCTCTCTCTCTCTCTTTCTCTTTCTCTTACTTTTTACACATTGTTAACGAGCCTTTGTCCCTGTAATAACCGGCTGGGCTCCGATGAGGCCCTATTAATTATTGCCGATAACTTTTAATAGAGACAAAGAGTAGGAAAAAACGGGGATTTAGAAAATCTGTGTTATTACCGGATCCCTGTTATTACCGGGCCTGTTATATATGGTTTCCACTGTACAGGTACCGAGCAAGACTTTAAAGAGAAAGCAACAAGGGGTGCCTGAAATGCCAGCATATTATGAGCTGTTGCTGCGTAGAGCCTAGTGTACGGCAACTTTTGAATTTGATTCCATCTGATGCGTTTGTATCTGCGACGTACCACACCCGGACCGATGATGCCCCCCCCCCCCCCCCCCCCCCCACGTGTCCCCCCCCCCCCCCCCCTCTTTGCAGTGTGATGTTGTGTGAGTCAAGTATGGTGTCTAAATGAGAACAGATAGGGCCAGTCCTGGGTTAAGGAGTCATGCTCTAACTCAGACAACCTGTCTTCTTTCTCCATCAATTGTTCTGGAAAGTTAATTATCTCCTCTTCAGAGTCAGAAAGTACGACACAACCTTCTAAATGTCATATCTCCCCATTTAGTTCCTCGATCTCCACGGCTCTAGTTTTTGCCATAATGCATAGTGACGACAAAACTCCTTTATAGTCTTCCGCTGATCGCTCACTTAGCTTTATATGTCTATTTTGTGTTTCGCTGCCTCTAGCAAACGATGGTGGTTCAGAACATCCTGAACTATATGAAAGATGGTGGTGCTACTTTACCGTGTTCAATGTTTGTAAGTGGGAGGTGTAAACTGTAGAGAAAACGTGCATCAAGAGTAGTTTCAGAAACCAGGCGGTTATAGTGCCCTGATAGCAGTGTTTCTCTGTTTTATCTTGTCCACGCAAACTGTGCAGATGTTTTTTTTTAATGTACTGTCTGTGAGTCCATTGTAATTCTAACACCAGAGGCCAAGAGAATGTCTGACTCAAATTTAAAACACTGGGGTCGCATTTTCTGTGCCTTCTGCTTGCCTGACAGTATTCTGCCACAACAAGTCCTGTAATGTTCGTGCAGCTTTTGAAAATGCGAATCCTCTGTATGTTTCTCTATTTGTTAACTGGGCTAAAATATTGTTTAAAATTTTTTAATCAATGAGAGAAATGTTGGAAAGATAAGCGATTCTAAAGTTAAGAGAAATGAAAGATCACGTCCGAGTGAATCACAGGGGAGGGGGTACCCTTTTTTTAAAAATCATAAAATCACACATTCGCTTTGCACAAATAACACTAGCTCTCACAGTTCAAGTATTGCTGTCTCAAGTGAAGCACAGAAATTTTGTGAAAATTGTGGGTTTGGTTTTTGAGATAATAAATTCCAAAATAGAATATAATTTAAAATGCAACTTTAGATGAACAAAACACTTGATTTTAAAGAAGAAAAAAAACAGGGAATCTATCTCATCTCGTTGAAAGAAAGAAATAGGATGTGAAAGAGAGAGAGAAACAAACAGAGAGAGAGAGGGGGGGGGGGGGGGATGGGAATGGGAATAAGCTAAAATTTGAGTTCTCGTTGAATCCGAGCTCGTTGAATCTGAGTTCCACTGTACTGACACTGGCAGGCCCCTTATGTGGGATTCCATAATTTACATATGTAATATCCTGTACTTTTTATTGAATTGCAATCTTTTAGGGTTAGAATGGCCAATCTTCAGATAGGTGAACACACGCCTTTAATTGTTAATTTTTGTGTTTTTTTATATTATGTACTGTTCTAATTTTGATTTCATTCTGTTGTGTAACCTTATTTTTCACATTTTTACGCTTTGTGTAGCTATAAAAATGACATTCTGGATGCTTAGTTAAAACAGAGCACAAGAAATTCTAGTGCTTTAGATTAAGTTACCTCTATCAACATATTTCTATATACAGTCGAACCTGTGTAAGACGGAATCGCAAGGGAGCGGGGAAAAAATTCTGTTTTAGACATTTTCCGTCTTAGACAGGGGAATTTAGGGGGGGGGGGGGTTCAAAGGCCCAGCCGGTGGGATCAAGGATGGCTTGTCCGATCGGCAAGCAGTGGTCAAAACTTCACACCTCTCAATTGCTATCCTGTCTGATAATGACATGCGTCAGTCTTACTTGTCCAATTACCACCAGTGCTTGCTTTTCATAGGACCACTGTCTGACCTATTAAAAACAGAAACGTTTGAACATCTCCTTTGCTTCCACCCTTAGCCCCACCCAAAGGTGCCACCCCTCACTGCCATCATTGTAACAATGATTCGAGGAACTCTTTTCTCGGCTGGCATTGGTCAATCTAATTTCACACCTCTGGCTTCTGGCTACTCAGGAAAGTTTCCGTAGTGGCTCGCTACTCGAGCACTCTCACGGGCAGTCGTGAGATTTAACACCCACACTACACTGACCATCTGCATCGCTCAGGGCTCACATGATGGGGTAATATCTACCCCCTAATTGCACCCCTACTCCCCTTCCTCGTCCAGCAGCATGGCCATTGCGTTAAGTTTATAGCCGACAGAACTAAACTTGCGAGTTTTGTTTCATATCAGGGCTGAGCGGGCAAAGCATTTTCCGTCTTAGACAGGTGAAACCCTCGGAAGGGAGCGGATTTTTCTTTCCGTTTCCGCGTTGGACAGGTTTCCGTTTTATACAGGTAATTAAAGAGGAATATATCAAGGAGGGAGCGGGGAGATTCCTTTAAGACAGGTTTCCGTTTTATGCAGGTTTCCGTTATGGCAGGTTCGACTGTGTATATATATATGTCGTCACAGAGAATTGGAAGCTTGAAAAAGAATGGCAACAAACACAGATGCTAGCCCAGGGCCCTCAAAGCCAAAGCTTTAACAATCCCTTACTTGATTGAAATGTTTGTCTTCCACAGCTAAGGTGTTTCATGACACATTTTCAAGTCTCCGCCACATTCAGCCCCAGGTTTTGTACCCTATACCTGACTTCTCTGCGTTTGATAAAGCTGTCGATCCCCCAAGTGATGATTTGATACCCTCCGGCGTCAAGACTGTCTTTCTGTCCATTAACAGATATGACAGAAAAAAGAATCTTCCACTTGCGATCAAAGCTTTTGGTAAGTCTGGCTGTAACGAGAAGCACATGCAAAAGCTGCACTTATCTTACCTATCAGGTAGGACAAGAACAACTTTTATGTGTTCTTTTCCTCTTTGAACTTTATTAGTTTAGCTGATCAGCAACAGGAATATGATGGTGGTATTACTTTATCAAAAGTCATATTTAGAAAAATGGGTGTTTCATTTACATTAGTCATCCCAGTTATCCTATTTCTCCCCCATATAATTATACCACACATTGTAGTTGTAACTTTGTAAACTATATTTTGACAGCCCTTAGTCCAGTACATTACGTGTTAGCATTTGTTATCCTAATTATATCCTCCCCCATAAAATCAAACCACACCTTGTAGCTTTTTTAAACAATTTTTTGACAGTCCAGTAAGACTTGCTAGACTTTTTATGTACATATTCTGTTCCAGAGCTTTGTCTTTTGAAAGATCAACCACCAGAGGGGCTGTACAATTAGTAAGAAGAGGACTAGAATATATAATACGTGTTCAAGAATCAAGGGGTTTAGAAACAAAGTGAAAATCCTCTGCTGTCTTTGTTAAACCTCATGTCCATTGTCATGTTCAACAAAATCGTTGTTTTGAGATTTTAGACTTTTGGGGACATTTTTTGGGGAGTAGAAAAATGTGTGTAATTGAGCACATGCACATGAATGTAGCAGACATCTTTAAAAGTAGCACATTTATCACATGCTGTATTGTCCAGCTCGGGAGTCGGAGACGATCAAGAATTTTGCATCCTTTTATTACATAATACAGAACTTTTTCTGTTGTTGTTTGTTATTTTTTGTACATTCCTTTTATAATAATTATATTGCTTGTTTCTCCAAGTAAGATGACTAAACCTATGTAAGGTGTCTTGTATGTTAAAGTTAATTTCAATGAGTAAAAGATAAGTCAAGGGCAACGGAAGATGAGAAAAGAAGTCTTGATTGTGTGAATTTATCGCCTTGGCTAATTCTTAAGTGTGGGATTAAGTTCATTGATGTCACTGATACTAACCTTTCTAATTTTCCTAATGATGCTTTTCCAGTTTTTACAGGAATTGCAAATAATAATGTTGTAAAGAGGAAAGTATGAATGATTCAAATTCAGTACTTACTGTTTTGTTGGGTTTTGTTTCATTGTAGGGAAACTTTTGAAAGAGCATCCAGATGCGAATACCCACCTCATTATGGCTGGTGGTTATGACGACCGAGTGACGGAAAATGTGGAACTTCACAAGGAGCTGGTGCTGATGGCCAAGGAGCTGGGACTGGAGAGCAGCGTGACTTTCCTGAGGTCGTTCAGCGACTCCCAGAAGCGAACACTGCTGAAGTATTCATCCTGCCTTCTGTACACTCCTGAGAATGAGCACTTTGGTATCGTACCCATTGAGGCAATGTACATGAAGTGCCCTGTGATAGCTATGAACAGTGGGGGGCCTTTGGAGACTGTCGCCCACGAGAGCACTGGATTTCTGTGTCCTAACGACTCTGACCTTGTTGCTGATGCTATGTATAAATTTATTGATACTCCAGATCTTTCTAAGTCGTTTGGAGAAGCAGGCAAGAAACGTATTGAAACCATGTTTTCATTCATTCAATTTACTGACAAACTGGATTCTGTAATTAATGAGTTGTTGACGGGAAAATCTTCATGAGCTAGTTATGACTTATTAAATGTTGGTTGCAAGTTCATCATTTATGTCTATAATATATTTATTTGAATGTCATTTTATAGTAACTGGTCCTACCATGTGTGTAGGTACAGTAATTGTCAGAACTTACAAAGTCTGTCAGTAATGCAGACAGCAACAATGCTCTCTGTGTGCTGCTGACCGTTTTTGATTCTTAGCTGCTGTCCTACATTTTTTTTCTGCTTTCATTACATTGCATATGATTATGAACAGCTGCTAAGTGGATTCTCTTTGGTGGTTTTTTGGGGGTTTTTTTTATTTATTTTTGCTGTGGAGTTTCTTGGTTTCATGGATATCTTTCACCTTCTTTGCTTATAAAATTGTTATACCCTTTATGAGTTCTCGTTGATTCACATGTTCATAATCATTTGACAAACAGTACCCATGTGAGGCATCATGGTGAAATCAGGTGCTCGTTAAAATAATGAAATCAAAGAAACCAGCATTTTTCTTGCCGTTAAGCAATTTTTTTTTTCCCTAATTTTCTTTTTTTGACTCAACACCCTTTATGTCGATTTAAAAACACATTTCTGTGTGGATTTTACTGAAAAACATTGATTAAAGGCACATAAAATGTAAATGATCATCTTCAAAGGACTCTCAAGCTATGGAAGGTACTAAACTCTGGCAGCCGTTTTCTCATTAATTTTACCTCTGAAACCAGGCAACCCTCCCCTCCTTTGGTCGCAAATATCTTTACTTCTTTTCAATATAGATGGATATTTTTTTCACCAAAAGCAAGGCAGATGAACAGGCTTTAAGTTGATACCAATAACCCCATTTGCCCTAAAATTGACGAGTGCCTGATTCCACCACGTCGTGCCACATATTATATTTGAATGAATTTGTTTTTTCTGTGGCAATTATCAAACAATAAAAGCTTTACTTTCCTTGCCTTTTTTTCCCTCATATATACTGGTACTTTTCCTGTTTTCTTTTTATTTTGTTTTCTTTCTTTCTTTTTTTTTGTTGTCTTAGATGGTTATTCTTTGTAAGAGGGCAATGTTTCTCAAATTATTTTGTGGCTCGACTAAGTAAAAGTCTTTCTGGTTATTTCACCCCTAGGGGATTCAGGATCTCAGCAGGTATGGTGTTTGCCTGTCAACCCAAAAGTTCAGAGTTCGATCTGCATGAGCGCTTGGGGGGGGGATTCTAGGATTTTCTGCACCAATTGATCCAATGGTAGATAGGATCAAGGATGTAGTCTTCTCAGATAAGGACGTAAATTTTCAAATGACCCAAAACTCTAAATTGATCCCTACCCAGAACTGAAGCAGCTATAGTGACTCTAGTCAGTGTACATAAGAGAGTATCTTCAAAAACAGCATGTGACTGCCTGTCGGGCAAGGGATGATTCCGTGTTCTTTGTATCTATAAAACGGCCGTGAATATTAAATTAGCTGCACTGTGAGATGAAAAGTTATCAGTCAGTTTTTCCCCAAACTCTTAACACTGCTAGCAGGAATATGAGAAAAGAGAATTTCACCCATCCACCTCAGCATTAATCTGTCCTCGTCATTTTATGCCAGAAAAATTCGGAAATTATGCAAACTGAGCCTAAACATGTGAAACTATGCGATTCTGTTACTTTTAACAAAGAATGATAAAGGAAAATTATCAGAAATTATGCAAAAAAATGATCAAATGTTGCTAAATTATGCGGGGTGCATAAAGCCACGGGGACAGATTAATTGGGTGGGTACTTGTGGATGGGGTGTTTGGATGATGTTCACCTGACTAGTGTCCTAATCTAGGGGCAATCTTGTGTCTTATGTTTTACGTCAGGTTATTGAAATTGAAACTGGAATAAGCTTTGTTGGCCTCAAAGTCAAAGTCAAAGTTGCAGGACAAGAGGTAAGTTGACTATTTGTACTTAATTTAGTTCAGGGCCAAACCTTCCTGTGTTTACAATGTAGTTTTTTACAATGTTGTTGCTGCCGTTAATCCAGTAGCCTTTGTTGAGCCTGTACCCTTCGGCCCAAAATGCCGTGTTCAAAATGGTGGAGGTCTTCAATGTTTTGTTCTTTGTTGCAATATAGGGTATTGTCTGTTGCAGGGACAGGGGAAAAAGTTGATGTCAGAGATCCTATTATGTATTTGTTTACAATGAGAATTTAGGCGGGCTCTCTCTCTCTCTCTCTCTCTCTCTCTCTCCCT